AGCCCCAGCTCCCTCAGCCTCTCCTGGTCCTGGAGATGCTCCCTCCCTTCGGCATCTTCCCGGGAAAAGCTCCATCCTCCAGGAGCTCCCTGTCCCTGCTGTGCTGAGGAGCCCAGAGCAGGACACAGCTCTGCAGATGTGGCTCCCCAGGGCTCGGGAGAGGGGCAGGAACATCGGTGGGATGTGATGGGATGGGATGGGATGGGATGGGATGGGATGGGATGGATGGGATGGGATGGGATGGGATGGGATGGGATGGGATGGGATCGTGGGGGTCCCTGAGGGAAATGGAATTCCTCACCCAAGCAGGTCAGGGAATGGTTGAATTCCACAGGGGATTCACCTGGGTAAATTCATCCACAGAGCTACAGCCAATGGCTCAGTGTCCAGGTGGGAACCAGTAACAAATGGGCCCCTACTGGGGCCAGGACTAATTAATACCTTCGTTAATGACGTGGTGGGAGTTGGTGCCCCCTCAGCAGTCTGAGCAGTGCCATTGATCCATAGAATCATGGAATGGCTTGGATTGGAGGGGACCTTAAAGATCCTGGCATTCCAAACCCCTGCCATGGGCAGGAACCCCCCTCCCAGCTACTTTTCTGCCTCATCAATACGATTTTCCCAATGATTTTCCAAACACCATCCCGTTCTCACTCCAACTCCAGAGGAATTTCATCTCAGATATTGTTCTATTCCCTACAAATTCCCAGGGAGGAGCTTCCTGGCTTCGTGGTAGATCCTAGAGAGGGTTTGGAGGAGCCCATCATCAATCAGGCCATTTCCAAACTCTGTTTGGAGGGCAGAAACCTTTTTTTTTGGGGAGCAAATCCCTGAGGATAATCACCATGGGTTAAATTCCTCCCTGGTTATTCTGCAGCCTGGACGATGTTGGGGATGAGTTGCCCTCCAGGTTTTAATGGCAGGGTGGGAGCTGGGATGCTTTGATCTTTCCTGAGGCCGTTTCCATCTGCACCCAATTATTGCAAAGCCATCCAAGGGGGAGAGAAAAACCATTTCCCGGCTGTCACTTGGGAGCGGCGTCAGGAAAACGCTCCGGCACCTCCAACAGCCACTCAGGGGGGACGTTAAAACAACCTGACAGGCCATCCAGGTGCTCAATCCCGCTGCTCCACCGTGGGGGGGACCTGGAAAAACTCCGGGGAAGCTCCTCAAGAGGGGGGTTTTAGAAAATAGGGGATAACCGGAGTTGAGGCGTTTGAGTTTTGGGGAAAAACACTCGTGGTTTTGGTGCTCCCCTCTTCCCAAAAGGTCTGGCTGGTGGGATTTGTGTCCTCCAGGGTGGGTGGAGGGACTTGGACGCAGGGCCGAGGAGATGGGAAGATGCTCCAGCATTTTACCATCTCTTCCTGGAATCCCAGAATATTCCGAGCTGGGAGGGACCTCCCAGGGATCATCAAAGCCCGGCTCTTGTCCCTCTGCTGGGAGAGGAGCAGGGGGGGTGGGATAAGCCTGGAGACACCTGGGAAGTTCACCCTGGGCAAGGTGCTTGGGAATGCCAGGCTGGATGATGGGATCTCTCCTCCCTACCCTGATGGGTCGGTGGGTGGTGGGTGGTTGGCCCAGTAAACCCGGCGTGGCCTTTTCCTCACCCTCCTCCTCCTCCTCCTCCTCCTCCTGCCAGGCTTGTCCATGGAAAAACTTCATTAACATCATTCCTGATCCTCCTCCTCCTCCTGCTCCTTTGCCAGCTCCCTGCTAAAGAAGGCTGGGCCCTGCCAACCCCATCCCTCATCCCGATCCCGCTCTCGGGACCCCCTGGACCATTTAAGGCCATCGGCACCTTGAGCTTCCCCCGGAGCTTCCTTGGCAGGCAGGGAAGGAGTCCTGGACACGGGAACTGCCAGCAGGGCACCATCCCAACCCCTTGGGGGGAACCCCACAGCGGGATCATCATCAGTGGCACCTCCATCCCGGAGCTGGGAGGTGGGGGGAGGTTTCACCCCGGGGTTCTGTGGGATTTCCTTTGGAATTTTTATTTTTTCCCCCTCCCCTTTTTGTGGCCCAGCCCGTGGGCTGGCGGGGGTCCCGTGGGGGTGTGTGTGTGTGGGGAGTAGGGGGGTGGTATAATTATCCACCCCTGACAGGTGGAAGGGATCAGATGGCCCCCAGCACCACCCCACAGTCCTGGCTCGGCCTCATCCCGGTGGGAAGCAAAAATTCCCTATGGCTTAGCCTCAGGAATGCGGGACCAGGAGCAGGGGAGGCCGCTGTAAATTAACAGAAGGGGCTTTTCCAATCCCAAAGCTCGCCGTGCCAGCCCCGAAACGGCGGGATGGGGATGGGGTGTTCCAGAAAGGAGGGCCGGGAATGGCCTGGAAAAGCCGCTTGGAAACCCGAGCCGGGGCCGCGGCCTCGGGATTAGTCGCTCACGGTTTGTTTTCTTTGGGAAGCATCTTCTTGCCCTGCAGCCAGAAAAACATGGGATTGACCCAGAGGTCGGAGCAAGCGGGGAGGTGGCACATCCCGATCCCACAGGGATTTGTAAGCCTGTTCCTTGGAGGACAAAAACCCCCCTTTCCCCCCAAACCCCATCGTCCCTCAGCGGAGCATCCCTGTGGGGTTTTGGAGGCCGAGGCTCCTTTTTTTTTTCCTTGCTCTTCTCCTTTTCCAAGCCCTTTTAGGGATGGAAAGCTCTCTGCAGATCCCACTTTTCAGGGATTCAAATCCCAGCTGTGCAGAGCCGGGATTTGGGGTCGATGATCCTTGGGGGGTCCTTTCCAACTGAGGATATTCTGTGATTCCAGGAACTGGGATGGCTGGAACAGGACCCAGGACCAGGGGTTTGATCATCCCCACGATCTCGTGCCTTTATTTTTCCTCTTCCCTAATTTTGTTTCACTTCTTTTGAAGGGAGTTTTGAAGGGGGAGGAGGGGTTTTCCTTTTCTTCTCATTAATATTTTGGGAGAAATTCCTCTGTTTGAATTCCTGTCCTGTCACTGCCTTTTCCAAGTGTTTGTCTTTGGTCCAGGGTGTGTCCTGTCTGCAGGTGAGGTGGGAAAATGAGGAAAATGGAGGCAGGAGCCTCTGGAGCCAGGCTGGGAGAGCTGGGAATGTTCACCTGGAGAAGGGAAGGATCCAGGGAGACCTGAGAGCCCTTTCCAGGGCCTAAAGGGGCTCCAGGAGAACTGAAGAGGGACTGGGGACAAGGGATGGAAGGGACAGGACACAGGGAATGGCTTCAAACTGAAATAGATGGGATATTGGGAAGAAATTCTTCTCTGGGAAGGTAGGGAGGGGTTGGGATGGAATTCCCAGAGAAGCTGTGGCTGCTCCATCCCTGGGAGTGTTCCAGGTCAAGGTTGGAGCCACCTGGGATAGTGGGAGGTGTCCCTGCCCATGGCAGGGGGTGGGACTGGATGATCTTTCAGGTCCCTTCCCACCCAATCCATTCCATGATTCCACGTTTCTCCAAAACACGGGATTTAGGAATAACGGCAGAGCCACAACTCAACTCTCAACTTGTCCCTTGGCTTCCGACAGAGCTGGAAAATCACAGGAATGGGGGGGGTTTATATGAATTTTTAGTGGAAAAGCAGCGCCATCCCCCCCCTCCTTCCCCCATGGAGCCTCTGTATCCGTGTGTCCATCTGCATCCCAGCCCTCCCGCTGCTCAGCGCCGTCCCAGCCTCCGGCAGGCGAGCTCCTCGCTCCGGTGCCGGATCCCCGGCAGGCAGAGCTGCCAAACCCTTCTGCCTTTTCCAGGAGAGCTCTCCCAGGGCCCAGCAGGGATCCCGTTCATCCCAAAGGTCAGCAACGAGGGAGCTGCTCCCGTGTCCCCGGAGTCAACGTGCCGTGAAAAAGGGCAGGAGCTCCCCCACAGTTTTCCTAAGCTGGGGGAGGATGATCCTGAAACCCTCCCTGTGTTTCCCTTTCCCACCGATTCGTCCCCTTTTCCCCAAAATCTGGGCAGAATTGGAGCCACTGAAAATGCTGGGTGGGCACCCAGGTTTGGAAAAACCCCCACGCTTTTCTCGTGGGGAGGGTCGCCAAGGGAATGCTGGCGTTGGGAATCCTTGGCCGTGCCGTGTGGGTTGGGATTGAGTCTCAACCGTGGATGTCCCGACCTGGTGCTTCCTGCAAAAGCCAAGCTGGGTGGGATGGAGCATCCTGGCTGGGAGTGGGACTAACAGGGCTCCAGGACCTGCTCCCAGCCTTGCATCCCTTGGGATTCGCTGGGATGAGCTCTCTGGAGTGCTGGGTGTTGGGAATAGTCGGAGATCAGAGAGAGGTTGTTTCCTTCTCCTTCCCCCCACCGACATTCCCGGTCACCCCGAGGGAAATCCCGCCTGAAGGCATCTCCTCTTCCCTGCCTGTGTCTCTTCCCACTGCCAAAAAGTGCCCTTTCCCAGCAGGAAGCCTCGTGGGGAAGCTCTGGAGTGCTGATGGCTCCTCCCTCCCACTGGAGGGTCTGGAAGCGCCAGAAGCACTTTTAGGGATGAGCACCTGGATGCCGTCGTTTTTCCAGCCCCATTCCACGGCCACACTAAGCTTCCTGGGATGGGAGAGCATCAACCAAGCTCATTTCCAGAGCAGGTTGAGCTCCAGCCTTCAACCCCCTTCCTCAGGTCCAAGCAGCGATCCCAAAATAAGTCCCAAAAGGACTTTGTTCCTGCTCTTCCCTGCTCCTCCCCAACTCCCAGGAGTGTCTGGGACAACTCGTGTCCTCTCCAAAACCAGCTTCTCCAGCCCAGTTAAACCTCTTTGGGACCTCCCAGCACCGTAAATCACTGCCATCAGGAGGGCTTGGGTGGTTTGGATCCATGAAATCTCTTGGAAAGCTGCGGGTGAGCCGGGAGCGTCATTATTTTTTTCGGGAGTGTTTTGTCGTGGAACGGGGTTTTGATACGCAGAAGGGATCACCAACACATCCTCCTCTCCCCTTCAGCAAGGCTTTGGTGGCACCTGAAGGAGCCCTTCCCGTGCTCCCCACGGGGCTTTTCCCGCTTTTCCCAACCCCGGCTCTCTCCTTCCCTGGCAGTGCAAGAAGAAGCACACGCTGGTCTGTCCCGACTTCGCCAAGAAGGGCGTCTGTCCCAGGGGCGCCCGCTGCAAACTCCTGCACCCCCACAAGAGGCGTCACCCCCAGGAGGTGGCGGGTGATGGAGACCACCCCAACCCCCCTGCCAAGTGGAGATGGGCCAAGGAGAAGCTGGAGAGGTAGGAAAAAAGCGGGACAGACTCATTTTTCCTTCCCGGCCTGCTCCGGGATCTTTCCTCCTCCAGGGTCTTGTGTCCTGGTTTATTTGGAGGCGTGTGGTGCCTCCTGATGGAGCCACCAATGGGTTGGGCGGTGTCCGTGTTTGAGGGAGCTGGTGGAGAGGGAAGAGAGGATTCACCCTTGGGAATGTGGCATCCAAGGCTCCAGCACCTGCAGGTATCTCCCAGGCTTTCGTGGACCTTCCTCCTGGGAGGTGGAGGAGCCCTGATGGAATTTCCGCTGCTGGAAGTGGGTCCAGCTTATCCATAGCTCCGGGAGAAATGGGAAACCACCGTCCCTCTTCCTTATATCCATGTGGGGAGCAGAGCCGAGCCCTCATCTGGATGCACTGCCAGGGTGGGGCGTGGAGGTGCCAGAGGCTTTGGAAAGCAGTTGGATGCTGGGATGGGTCCTTGGAAGCTCTCCGAGCTCTTCCTGGTGTTTTTGTGTGCCGGGATGGACCCCCAGGCAGAGGATGGACATGCTGATCCTCGTCCTCCCCAGGAGATGGATTTCCTCAGGCTTCCTTTCCCTCACCCCCCAGCCCTTCCTGCAGGACATTCCCAGTTCCTGCATCCCAGTGGAATTCAGCTGAAAGCCCAAGAGGGGATTTGGCTTTAAAAGCGGGAGGTGGGAGCGAAGGTGGGATGGAAACACAGGGATCTGGGAGCTGTGCCAGCCTGGTCCAGGCTCCTTCCCGGGCCTGGGCCTGCCTTGTAAGGTAGCAGAGGGGGGACGAGCGCTCAGCAGGTTCTCCCAACTTATCCCGGGTGACAGAAGAGCCTTGGAATGACACCCAGCTCACGTTCCCGGTGGGAACGAGGTGTAAAATAGCTCCCTGCTCTTTTTAGGGAAGGAGGGATGGGAGCAGGGCTGGGTGGCTGGGAGGCTCCTGGCGTCTTCCCACAGGGATGGGAGCACAACCCCGGCTTGGAAGCTGCTCCAGAGGAGGGGGAGTGGTTTTTTTTTGCCCTTTCTTGGCACCGTGGTGGGAGATGGGAACGGAGCTGGAGTGTCGTGTTTGCCTGCAGGGGAGAGGTGGGGTTGGGAAGGAGCCAAGCCCAGCGGGACATCTCCCAGCCATCCCTGCTCCCCTTCCCAAACAGGAGCCTCCAGGAGAATCTGAGGAGCTGGAAAACTGGCAGGGAAGGGCAGGGCAGGGAGTCCAGCTGGAGAGGGAGGAATTCTGGCTGAATCCCTGTTGGCTCCAGGGATGTGGAGCGGCCTGGGATGGAGCCCCGGGAGCCCCTGGACCTCTTCCATTGCACGTGGTGCCATTCCCAACCTTGCAAAAAGTGGGATTGGTTTATTTCTCCTTAACATTTGTCCCATCTGCCTGCTGCAGGAAGGATCCAGCTCAGCTCCACGACGATGGGGAAATTCCCGGCCCTTCCAGGACGGAGCAGGAGGGGAAGTTGCGGAAGGAGGAGGACACCAAGGCAAGGAGCTGCCTGCAGAAGCTCCCGTCCTTCATCTCCCTCCGATCCCCGGAGTATCCCGGATTCCAGGGCTGCCAAGTGGAGAAGGATGAGGACGAGCCAGAGGAGAAGCCAGGTAGGAATCACATCCTCAGCTTTTTCCCGCCGTGGGCTCCGAGCTGCTCGGGTTGTCTGAGCAAGGAGGGTTGTTCCCCGCTGCTCTCCGGGAGTTTTCTTGGGATTGGTGTTCCCTGGGAGTCTCCAAACCAGTTCACACTGAGAACCCAAACAGGGTCTCCCATCCAGGCCCAAATCCTTGTGTTTGTTCCCAAAACCACCTGGGAGGATTTTATCCCGTATTTTATCGTCAGCTCCTTCCTTTTCCTATAAATTATCCGGTGATGAATCCAATCTCATTCCAATGGTGGAAGCAGAGCAGTGCCTGGCAGGAAGGGGTTTCAGTGGGATGCACCACTGGACCCACAGAAGGACCTTTGGAGCATCCATCCCACGTGCTTCCCGGTGGGAAATAGCTTGGAAATCAAAACATCCCAGTGGGAAATGGGATGGGCTGTTGACAGGTCGCGAGTTTTGAGGGAAGAGCTGCTTTAATCTGGGATTTATCCGCTTTGGAAATGGGTAAAAATCTTCAGAAAAGGCGGTTTTAGGATGAGCAGAACTTCTTGGGAATTCTCACACCTGCCTTTTCGTCCTGGGAAAAGCTCAGGGAAACGTTTCAGTGTGAAAGTGGGGGAGGGAAAAAGTGGGAAAACTGTTGGAGCGATGAGAAGAGTCGTCTTTGTTTCTCTCCAAAGCGGCTCCTGGCGGAGTTCTGCTGCTTTTCTGCTTCTCCAGCATTTTCCTCCGTTCCTAATTCAGCTTTTCCACTGGAAAATCCGGTAGGGAATGGCACTTTGGGCTGTTTCTCCGGGAGCAGAGGTGGTGGAGATGGCAAGGCAGGGAATGTGCCTGGTCCTTCCCAGCGCTGGCTGGGAGGTTTTCCAGTGGGATGTTGCTTCCCACTTCCCTTTTCCACTCCCATCCTTCTCCCGAGGGATGTGCAGCCTCTGGATCTCCCGAGCACTGGCACACAACGGGCTCACAAATCACAGTAATTTTGTGGCAGGAATGATGGAATTCCCACCCCCAGCTCGGCTGGCACAGGGTGTGGCTGAGCAGGATTCCTTCCCATCCTCAATCCCTGCTTCCCAGAGCTGGGAGAAGGGATGAATCCAGCACCAAATCCAGGCTGGAGTGGGCACCGAGGATCTTCAATCACTTCGAGCCAGGGAGGGCTGAGATGCCTTAACGCTGTCGGAAAGAGAATTCCCGGGATTAGCAACATATTCCCGAAGTCACAGGAGCGCACCGCGGGCTGCAGCCTGGTGGGAACGGCGAGGGACAATTCCGGCTGGGAAAGCTGCTCTTGGCTTCCCTTTCCAGGGATTTCCACCCCCCTCCTTCGCTCTCCTTGGCCTTGGTTCAACTCCCTCTTGATCCCGGGCGGGGAGTTGTTCCCAGAGTGGGGTTTTTATCTCCGTGATGAATTCGGAGCAATTAATCCATGGATAAGATTAACCCGTGGCTGTTGGAACTTGGATTGGCCAGGGAAGGCCCTGGATTACTCTTGGCAACCTGGAATAACTTGGCAGTGAGGGTGTCCTTTTTATCCGCGTGTCCGTGCAGGGAAGGATGATTTCCAGGTTTTTTGGGCTGTGAGGAGGAGGAGGAGGAGGAACTGGTTTATTTGGGAATGCTGGGAGGAACCCTGTGGAGGTGAGGTCAGGGCACTCCTTCCCTCCGTGCTCCTTTGCCCAGGGGATCACGTGGCATCGGGAAAACAGGTGCTGGAGGGATCCATGGGAAAGGAAAACCGGGCAGGAATCACAGATGGCTCTAAAACCATCTAATGAGGAAGCAACTTCCCTGCCAAAGGAATTCTGGACACGGGAATGTTGTCCCATGGGTTTGCCCATACTTGGGTCTCATCCCAACGCTCATCCAAGGGGTTTGGGCGCACAGGAGAATCCAGGGACTCCCAAAATCCAATGGGAGCAGAGGAATCCCGACCACTAACGAGGCATCATCCCAGAAGGAGGCGGGATGAGGCCGTTGGAGCTGCTGAAGGACCAAGTGCTTCGTGGTGGCCACTCCACCTGGACTCGGTGTCCCTGGTGGGTCCCTTCCAGCTCAGAATATCCCAGGATTCCGGGATTCTGAGCCTGGAGCTGTGTTGATGGTCAGGATGAGTCTTTGATTAAGTGGCATCAGGATTTTGGGGATCTGCACCTGTGAGGGGGAGGATAACGTTGGGTTTGTGAAGCCTGGAGTTGACACAGGGACTGTTGGGATGGTAAATGAGGAGAAGGCCAGGTTGTTGTCATGGAAGGAGCTGAATTCCCTGGTTAAACCCTCAGAATTCGAGGAAAGTGCCCTTTTAATCCTGGAAGAAAATGAAACACCGAGGACGGGGAGGGGGCTCGGAGTGACCTTTAAGGACCAGCGTGGGCATCAGCCTGGGAGGGTCTCAGGGGGGGTCTGGGCTTGGGATACAGGGAAAGGGGATGGGAATCCATGGAGCAAAACCCGCTGTCATCCTCCAACCCCGCAAGAGGAACCTGGGAATTTGGGATTAGGTGACCGGGCAGAGGTTGAACATGATCATCTCGGAGAGGGGGGATCTTTCCCAGCCAAAATGATTTGAGGGTGCTGGGGCTTTCCAAGCATATCCTCCCCCCCAAAAAAAACCCACTGGGAAGCATCCCATCCTTCCACCTCGTGTCATCCAGCCTGGGGGGAACAGGAGGAAGGGGAGGGCTCTCTCCCCTTCCCCTCCCGCAGCCGTTCCCAGGATTTTTCCTTTTCCATATTTCACCCGCCAGTTAAATCGCCTGCACCATCCCCTCATCCGACGCCAGCCCATTCCGACCCAGCGCTAATTTAATTAGGAACCCCCCCCCATTTTAGTTAATTTGTTGGAGAACATCGCCCGCCAGCTCCTGGCGAGAGCAGATGTTTCCCCCCTCTCCCCCGAGGCACATTCCGGGCGGCGTAAATGGCTCCGCTCAGCCTTGTTTAGGAGAGAAAAGGGGATTTTACGGCTTCCAAACGACCCTTTCTGTAAACATTTTACAGCCTCCCCGCTCGTCTGAGCGGCGATAAAGCCCCGGCAGCTCGGCGGGCGCAAATTTGCCGCCATACGGCCGCCGTTTTACGGTCGTAATTCACGGAAGATGCTGCTCCAAGTCTTTTTTAACGGCTCCGCTGAGCGGAGAATTCCCCGGGAATTCGGAGAGGTGAGGGGTTGTTTGCGGCTTTGGTTTCCTGGGAGGGGGGAAGCGTTTTGGGAAGTGAGGGGTTTTTTAACTCTGTTGGTCCAGAGCCCTAAAGGGGGAGCACGGTGGTGGTGGGTCGTGATCCCAACATCCCCGGTTCCTGGAATCGGGAATATCCTGACTTAGGGATGCACAAGGATCATCCAACTCCTCATGGCTTTGGCTTCTGGAGGAATTGCTTTGGAAATTTGGTTTTCCCCTTCGTTTGTCCAGAGTCCTAAAGGGGCAATACGGTGGTGGTGGGTCGTGATCCCACCATCCCCGGCTCCTGGAATCGGGAATATCCTGAGCTAGGGATGCACAAGGATCATCCAACTCCTCATGGCTTTGGCTTCTGGAGGAACCACTTTGGAAATGAGGATTTGCTCCTCCTTTCTCCTGACCCTCCCATTTGTGATGGGTCATGATCCAACCATCCCCAGCTCCTGGAATCAGGAATATCCTGAGTTAGGGATGCACAAGGATCATCCAAGTCCAGCTCCTCATGGCTTTGGCTTCTGGTGGAATCACCTTGGAACCTGATCCTCCCATTTGTGGTGGATCTTGGTTCCCACCATCCCTGGCTCCTGGAATTGGGAATATCCTGAGTTAGGGATGCACAAGGATCATCCAACTCCTCATGGCTTTGGCTTCTGGAGGAACCACTTTGGAAATGAGGATTTGCTCCTCTTTTCTCCTGATCCCCCCCCACACTCCATTTGTGGTGGATCTTGGTCCCACCATCCCTGGCTCCTGGAGTTGGGAATATCCTGACTTAGGGATGCACAAGGATCATCCAAGTCCAACTCCTTATGGTTTTGGCTTCTGGAATCAGGAATATCCTGAGTTAGGGATGCACAAGGATCATCCAACTCCTCGTGGCTTTGGCTTCTGGAGGAACCACTTTGGAAATGAGGATTTGCTCCTCTTTTCTCCTGATCCCCCCCGCTCCATTTGTGGTGGATCTTGGTCCCACCATCCCTGGCTCCTGGAATCGGGAATATCCTGAGTTAGGGATGCACAAGGATCATCCAACTCCTCATGGCTTTGGCTTCTGGAGGAACCACTTTGGAAATGAGGATTTGCTCCTCCTTTCTCCTGATCCCACTGCCCATTTGTGATGGGTCATGATCCAACCATCCCCAGCTCCTGGAATCAGGAATATCCTGAGTTTAGGACACACAAGGTTCTTCCATCTCCTTGTGGCTTTCACTTCCGGAGAAATTGCTTTGGGAAGTGAGGTTTTTTTCCTTGGTTTGTCCAGACGCCTGTGGGGGGAGCACAGTGGTGGTGGGTCGTGATCCCACCATCCCCTGGCTCCTGGAATCGGGAATATCCTGAGTTAGGGATGCACAGGGATCATCCAACTCCTCGTGGCTTTGGCTTCTGGAGGAATTGCTTTGGAAATGAGGTTTTGCTCCTCTTTTCTCCTGATCCCCCCCGCTCCATTTGTGGTGGATCTTGGTCCCACCATCCCTGGCTCCTGGAATCAGGAATATCCTGAGTTTGGGATGCACAAGGATCATCCAACTCCTCATGGCTTTGGCTTCTGGAGGAATTGCTTTGGGAAGTGAGGTTTTTTTCCTTGGTTTGTCCAGACGCCTTTGGGGGGAACACGGTGGTGGTGGGTCGTGATCCCACCATCCCTGGCTCCTGGAATCGGGAATATCCTGAGTTAGGGATGCACAAGGATCATCCAACTCCTCATGGCTTTGGCTTCTGGAGGAACCACTTTGGAAATGAGGATTTGCTCCTCTTTTCTCCTGACCCTCCCATTTGTGATGGGTCATGATCCAACCATCCCTGGCTCCTGGAATTGGGAATATCCTGAGTTAGGGATGCACAAGGATCATCCAACTCCTCATGGCTTTGGCTTCTGGTGGAATCACTTTGGAACCTGATCCTCCCATTTGTGGTGGATCTTGGTTCAACCATCCCCGGCTCCTGGAATCGGGAATATCCTGAGTTAGGGATGCACAAGGATCATCCAACTCCTCATGGCTTTGGCTTCTGGAGGAACCACTTTGGAAATGAGGTTTTGTTCCTCTTTTCTCCTGATCCCCCCCACGCTCCATTTGTGGTGGATCTTGGTCCCACCATCCCTGGCTCCTGGAGCCAGGAATATCCTGAGTTTGGGATGCACAAGGATTATCCAAGTCCAGCTCCTCATGGTTTTGGCTTCTGGTGGAATCACCTTGGAACCTGATCCTCCCATTTGTGGTGGATCTTGGTCCCACCATCCCTGGCTCCTGGATCCAGGAATATTCTGAGTTAGGGACACACAAAGTTTATCCAAGTCCAACTCCTTACGGGTTTGGCTTCTGGAGGAATCACTTTGGAAGTGGGGATTTGCTCCTCTTTTCTCTTGACCCTCTTCCCATTTGTGGTGGGTCGTGATCCAACCATCCCCGGCTCCTGGAAATCAGAAATATCCTAAATTAAGGACACACAAGGACCATCCAACTCCTTATGGCCGTGGCTTCTGGAGGAATCACTTTGGAAGTGGGGCTCTTCTCCTCCTTTCTCCTGAGCTATTTGATGACCTAAAAGCTGGAGATGGAAGAGCCCTCTAAATTGGTAAAATTCCATCTTCTCCAGGATAATCTTCAGCCCACCGGGAAAGGATGTCAATCCACCATCCCATCCCTAATCCACACACTGCAGCTCATGGATGGTTGTCTGGCTGCTGTTTCCCCTCCTAAAAGAAGGAATTAAGGAGAAAAGACGTGGGAAAGGGTGTCCCAACTCCCTTGAGGGTCAGAAGGATCCGGATGGAACAGCAGCAGGTTGTCTCCTTGTGTTCCTGGGAAATTTCTCCCCTTGGCCTTAAAAGCTGGAGCATCCAGCAGGGAAATCTGGGATGCATCCCTGGGTGAAGCCTCTTCCTGGAGGAAGATGCAGGACAGGGTGGAAACCCCGTGGTGGCACCGGGAGAGCGATGGAGACCAAACATCCCATCAGGAAGGGAGACCAACCAAAATTCCAAAGCTTTTTATAATGGGATGGTGGAGCTGGGAAATCTGTGCCCCGTTCCTTTGGGGCTTGGGCATCTTCCACCCACGATTTGGGGTCTTTCCAGCTGCTTCCCACTTTCCCACCCCCGTGGAGAAACCCACCTTTTTAAGCCCTCAGGGAGAGGATTCAGGACCCACCCCCTTGATTCCCTGCCTTGAAATCCCTTCAAATCCCTCTTGGTTTTCCCCTTTCCCTGCCTTGAAATCCCTTCAAATCCCTCTTGGTTCTCCCCTTTCCCTGTGGGATGCAGCTGGAGCCTCCAAAAAGCAGGTTTTAGAGACGAATCTAATGGGGCCACCTGAAGGGTGATTTACAGCCCCCCCTTCCATCCCCATCAGATTCCCTCCCTCCTCCCTCCTTTCTCCAGGAAAAGACTGGCAAGTCCCCTCTGTCTGCCTGACACCTGCTTAGGCTCAGGCAGAATAAATGTTGATTTCCATGGGGGAAGGTGTGGGGGTGGAAAAACACACTGGAAGTCCTAATTCTCCAGCAAAACCCACCCTATTTCCAACGGGAAAAACTCAGGATCCCACCCCGGTTCCTCTTCCTTGGGAAGCAGCTCGATCGTGGTGATGGGAAAACAAAAAAAAAAAAAATAAAAAAAAGGGGAGTTTCTTGGGGGGGGGAAAGAAAAAGGGGGGTTTCTCAGCCCGGGCTTGTTTTGCTGACTAGAAAGGATGCACCTGGTTGGTGGGAGATGGATGGAACCGCTTCCCAAAGGCAGGGAAAAGCGGGAGATCGATCACAGCACTCGCAGGATCTCCCAAGCACAGAAGTGGGAAATGTTGGAGAAGAGACACCACCCTCCTCCTCTCCCTTTCCCACCCTGTTTGCTCCGGGTTTCCCGCCCTTTGGAAGCGTTTTGGGATGTGGTTTCCCTATTCCCGCCTCGGAGCTTTGAGGGATGTGTTTGGAACGGGGTGTGGATGCTCCGGAAGTTCATTATGGTCAATTTAAAAATCCACACCCCCCCTCCAAGAAAAAGAAAAGGACTGTGCATTTCTGCTTCCTTAATGTGTGAGGTGCCTTGTGGATACTGGATTTTCTCCGGCTCATCCGAAGGGAATTGAGCCCTTCCCGCCATTCCCACTGAACCAGGACCACGGTTGCTGGTGGGGCAGGAATATGGAGATGCTGGTTTTGTCCCTCAGGGTGACAACCAGCAGCTCTGGTCCTTAATTCCAGCAACCAGGATGGGAGACATTCACTAAGGAAGTTTTTTTCCGGCTCATCCAAAGGGAATTGAGCCCTTCCCACCGTTCCCACTGACCCAGGTTGCGGGTGGAGCAGGAACAGGGACACCCTGACTTTGACCCCAGCAGCTCTGCTGGACCCTAATCCCAACTCGGGGTCCTCTCCCGCTTCCTGCCTCCCAAAATCCCCCAAAATCCTTCCTTTCTGGGCTTCTCCGAGGTCCCCGTGGTCCCCCCTCCGTGCTGGGTGTGTTTGGGAATGGTGCTGTGGAATTTTGTGGGAACAGGCACAAGCTGTGTGCTGCTCCCCCCGGAACATCTGGAACAGGTTTGGGCTGGATTCCCTCCATCTTCTCCATCACCTTTCCCACCTCCTCTGATCCCAGGTGAGGTGGGAATTTTCCCACTACACCTCCAGCAAGCTGTGGGCCTGTTTTTTCCTGGGAAACCTCCTGTCTTTCCAATCTTTCCACCCATCCCGAGGGGCCACCGCTGTCCTTCCCACCCTTCACTCTGGCAGGTGGAACCCCCAGCACCACCTCTCCAAACCCTTTGGAGAGGGAAAACAGGAGAAGCTGCAGGAAAGGCGCATCCGGTGTTGGGTTGAGGCAGGGAAGGATTTCCCACCTTGATCCATGGGATATTCCCAGGCTTGTCCTCTCCAAGGAGGTCACCTCCCAGAGGCTTTCCATGAGCATCCAGGCCCCTCTCTGGAGGAGGCAGGAGCCCTCACTTGGAGCATCCCAAGAAGGGTGCTGGGAATTCCTGGGGGATGCCTGGCTGGAGCAGGGAGCAGGAGTTAACCCCTTGCTTCCCAGTGCTCTGCTCCTTCCGGCTCCATCCCAGCCCCAAAGCGGTTCCCGGTGTTTGCCTTGTGCTTCCAGTGGGAAGGGTCCAAAAATCCTTTTGGATTCTCTCTGTCACCCCTAGCTTGGGAATTCTGCAGCGGATGGATGGGAAGGGACCTCCGAGTGCCGCTCTTTGGGGGCTGAGGATTCTCAGGGATTTGGGGAATTTGAGCCATCCTGGGCTTGGCCAAGGGGGACGAGGAGCAGGAGAGGAGCTCAGGACGCTCCCACCCCTCCATTCCAAGGGATTTCCGAGGTGACCTGAGCCAACCTCCATGACTTTCTCCTCTTCCCTCCCTTTCCCCTCCCAGGCACCACCAAAAGGAAGAGGATTTTGCCGCGGGAATCCTCGGAGGACTCGGAGAACACCCGTGTGGAAGGTGCCAGAGGTGAGGCCAGGGCGGAAAACCACCCCCATTCCCAGTTTTCCAGTGCCTTAACCCCTCATGACCAGGCAGGGAGAAGCCTGGGAATGTCCAGGTGTGTCCCCCACTTCCCACCACCCCCCTTTTTCCCTGCTCTCCTTCCAGGCAAACGGCTGCAGATCAAGCCCCGGCTGTGAGGAATTCCCGATCCCGGGAATTCCCGATCCCGGGACAGCCGACCCGCTCAGGAACCGGAGAGCCGGGCACGACCTGGCACCTACCTCAGGACGCCGTGTCCAGGCACGGCACCCCCTTCTCCTCCCGCTTTTCCAAGGGGACTCCATCCGGACAAGGAGCAGCGTGGGAATTACACCCGCTCGTTCCCACCGGGAATTCCCGCGGGAAGCGGCTTTTTTGGGAGTCTTTTGAGTTGACCAATAAACCACCCTTTGTCAGTTGGTTTGTTTGGAGGGCAGGTCCTGCCGAGTGAAGCTCCTCGGATGTCTGTGGGGTTGGGAAGAGCTTCCCGATCCCGTGGGTGTCCCGGACAGGGGCTGATCCGGGCACCGGAGGGGGTTTTAAGGCCGTGACATTCCCACATCCAGGGCATTTAATGGGATGTAAAGCCCCCACTGCCCCTGATCCCTCCATCCTGCTCCATTCCGTGGCTTTTGGGAGGAGATTTCTTGCCAAGAGCATTCCTAATGGGAATGTGTGTTGGGGGGAGCAGTGCCGGGCTCTCACCCCGCAGCGTTTCGAGGTCTGGTTGCTCCCGATTCCCACCTTTCCTCATCCCAGCAGGACACCCAAACCGACTCTTCCAGAGGGGTTTTTTTTTTAATTGGCAGGAGCAAAGCATGGAGAGGGAATCAGATCACCAGCACCACAGGGGGTTTTGCATCCATAGGTGCCACTTCCCAGGGATTTTGGGGTGGTGGATGCTGCTCCCGCCCGCAGATGGGATTTGGGGGACGCCTCGGGGGGAAGGTGGGATTTTTACCCCTCAGGAGAAATCCTGCGGATAAAAAGAGGCTCAGCAGGGATGTGGGGAGCGCTGGGGCTCCCTGAGGACGTTTCCTGGGAATGGGATGGGCTCAGGTGCACGGCGGATCCGGGAAGATGCCGACGGCGACGGCTTCGCCTCCCGAACACCCCCCCAGGGAAAACACCCTAGAGACCCCCACGGGGTGGGTGGGGGGTTTCACCATCCCAAATCCAGAGCATTCCCCCCAGGGATGGATGGATCCCGCCCTGGGATGTCACCTGTATCCCAAGGCGCGTCCCCAGAGCTGTTTTGTAACCAAAAGCTCCGTCGTCTCCGTCGCTGTGAAATGCCTTTTATTAATTCCTGTGTTTCGGTTTGTAAATAAAGACTTTCCTCCCCTGGGGACGGGATTGTGGCGTTTCCTCTCTCTCCAGCGGGAACATCCCATCCAAAATCCAGCCAAATCCAAGGGAGGAGCCGCTCCAACCCTTAAATATTCAATTTTTATTTTTTTTAATTATTCCAACTTTTTCACCCAGAAATGACATTTCTTCTCCTAAAAAAACAAAAAACACAAAACCACTAAATTCAGTAAAAAATCACCCCCGAGGAGAAAGAGCTGTGAACCCTCCGGGGTGGCCGGAGTGGAGCTCTGGGATTTCCCAAATCCACGGATCCCTGACGAGGATTAAGCCTCGTGCCGCGCTAATTAAACGAGGTGACTCCGCTCTCGGAGCCGCCGCTCCCATCCCGGGAAGGCTGCTGGGAATTTGCTGCTGGCTGTCATTAAGACACCGCTTGGGGGGTGATTAATTTCCAAGCTGGGACCGGCTCGAGGCATCTCCCAGCCCCGGGGGGGGTTCTCCCGAAATCTCCCGCCAGCGCCGGGATGAGCTCCCGTGGGTGGGGTTTATCCGCCCTCCTCGGGAAGGTGGGAATGGAGGGGTGGCACAGGGGGGAGTTTCTAGAAGGCTCCATAAACATTTCCTGGAAAACCCTCCTGCGGCGGGCGCTGCTGGCACCGCGCTCGGTGCCCTGCCGGGGAAGCAGGTGCCGGGTGAGCGCCCGCCGGCTCGGGTTTCTGCCTGGCATCAGGGGGGCTGTTCCCTGCCCTCCTCCTCCTCCTCCTTGTCCTCCTTCTCCTTTTCCTCACACCTTCACTGTATGATTTCCCCCCTTCCCAAAATTCCTGACCCTTCTCCATGTGGAGCTGCAGATGCTGGTGGAGCATCAAGACAATCCCTCCAACTCATCCTGATGGAACACCACCTTCTCCATGGGGTGAGGGGTTCCCTGCCCTCCTCCTCCTCCTCCTCCTCCTCCTTTTCCTCACACCTTCACTGTATGATTTCCCCTCTTCCCAAAATTCCGGTCCTTTCTCCATGTGGAGCTGCAGATGCTGGTGGAGCATCAAGACAGTCCCTCCAACTCATGGGGTTCATCCCGATGAGACACCACCCTCTCCATGGGGTGAGGGAATTCCCTGCCCTCCTCCTCCTTCTCCTCCTCCTCCTCCCATCCTCACTATGTGATTCCCCCCCTTTCCCAAAATTCCTGACCCTTCTTGCAGCGACATCACGTCGAGCTGCAGATGCTGGTGGAGCAGCACCAGAACAATCCCACCAACACATGGGGTTCATCCCAGTGGGACACCACCTTCTCCATGGGGTGAGGGGTTCCCTGCCCTCCTCCTCCTTGTCCTCCTTTTCCTCACACCTTCACTGTATGATTCCCCCCTTTCCCAAAATTCCCGTCCTTTCTCCATGTGGAGCTGCAGATGCTGGTGGAGCATCAAGACAATCCCTCCAACTCATCCTGATGGGACACCACCCTCTCCATGGGGTGAGGGGTTCCCTGCCCTCCTCCTCCTCCTCCTCCTCCTCCTCCTCCTCCTTCTCCTCTTCCTCACACCTTCACTGTATGATTTCCCCCTTTCCCAAAATTCCTGACCCTTCTCCATGTGGAGCTGCAGATGCTGGTGGAGCAGCACCAGGACAATCCCACCAGCTCATGGGGTTCATCCCGATGGGACACCACCTTCTCCATGGGGTGAGGGGTTCCCTGCCCTCCTCATCCTTGTCCTCTTCCTTCTCCCACCCTTGCTGTGATTCCCCCCTTTCCCAAAATTCCTGACCCTTCTCCCTGTCAAGCTGCAGATGCTGGTGGAGCATCAAGACAGTCCCTCCAACTAATGGGGTTCATCCTGATGGGACACCACCCTCTCCATGGGGTGAGGGGTTCCCTGCCCTCCTCCTCCTCCTTGTCCTCTTCCTTTTCCCATCCTCACTATGTGATTTCCCCCTTTCCCAAAATTCCTGACCCTTCTCCTTGCAGCGACATCACGTCGAGTTGCAGATGCTGGTGAAGCAGCACCAGAACAATCCCACCCACACACGGGGTTCATCCCAATGGGACACCACCCTCTCCATGGGGTGAGGGGTTCCCTGCCCTCCTCCTCCTTGTCCTCCTTTTCCTCACACCTTCTCTGTATGATTCCCCCCTTCCCAAAATTCCCGTCCTTTCTCCATGTGGAGCTGCAGATGCTGGTGGAGCATCAAGACAATCCCTCCAACTCATCCTGGTGGGACACCTCTCTCCATGGTGAGGGTTCCCTGCCCTCCCTCCTCCTCCTCCTCCTCCTAGTCCTCCTCCTCCCTTCCTACACCTTCACTGTCCTTCCATGGGTGAGGGGTTCCCTGCCCTCCTCCTCCTCCTCCTCCTTGTCCTCCTTCTCCTCTTCCTCACACCTTCACTGTATGATTTCCCCCCTTCCCAAAATTCCTGACCCTTCTCCATGTGGAGCTGCAGATGCTGGTGGAGCAGCACCAGGACAATCCCACCAGCTCATGGGGTTCATCCCGATGGGACACCACCTTCTCCATGGGGTGAGGGGTTCCCTGCCCTCCTCCTCCTTGTCCTCCTTTTCCTCACACCTTCACTGTATGATTCCCCCCTTTCCCAAAATTCCGGTCCTTTCTCCATGTGGAGCTGCAGATGCTGGTGGAGCATCAAGACAGTCCCTCCAACTCATCCTGATGGGACACCACCCTCTCCATGGGGTGAGGGGTTCCCTGCCCTCCTCTTCTTTGTCCTCCTCCTCCTCCCACCCTCGCTGTGTGATTCCCCCTTTCCCAAAATTCCTGACCCTTCTCCCTGTCAAGCTGCAGATGCTGGTGGAGCATCAAGACAGTCCCTCCAACTAATGGGGTTCATCCTGATGGGACACCACCCTCTCCATGGGGTGAGGGGTTCCCTGCCCTCCTCCTCCTCCTTGTCCTCTTCCTTTTCCCATCCTCACTATGTGATTTCCCCCTTTCCCAAAATTCCTGACCCTTCTCCTTGCAGCGACATCACGTCGAGTTGCAGATGCTGGTGAAGCAGCACCAGAACAATCCCACCAACACATGGGGTTCATCCCAATGGGACACCACCCTCTCCATGGGGTCAGGGGTTCCCTGCCCTCCTCCTCCTTGTCCTCCTTCTCCTCTTCCTCACACCTTCACTGTATGATTTCCCCCCTTCCCAAAATTCCAGTCCTTTCTCCATGTGGAGCTGCAGGTGCTGGTGGAGCAGCACCAGGACAATCCCACCAGCTCATGGGGCTCATCCTGATGGGACACCACCCTCTCCATGGGGTGAGGGGTTCCCTGCCCTCCTCCTCCTCCTCCTCCTCGTTGTCCTTCTCCTTTTCCTCACACCTTCACTGTATGATTTCCCCCTTTCCCAAAATTCCGGTCCTTTCTCCATGTGGAACTGCAGATGCTGGTGGAGCATCAAGACAATCCCTCCAACTCATCCTGATGGGACACCACCCTCTCCATGGGGTGAGGGGTTCCCTGCCCTCCTCCTCCTTGTCCTCCTCCTCCTCCCATCCTCACTATGTGATTTCCCCCTTTCCCAAAATTCCTGACCCTTCTCCACATGCTGGTGGAGCAGCACCAGGACCATCCCACCAGCTCATGGAGCTCATCCAGAGGGACATCACCCTCTCCATGGGGTGTTATCCCAGCGAGGGGTCCCCAAGCCTGGCCCTGAATGCCGTAGGAACATCCCGGGAAGCCGAGGCGGCCCCTCTGGAAGGGTTAACGGCGCTCCAGAAGCGGAGGGTGACGTGAGCCCGAGGCCATCCCGAGGCCACCAACCTGGTTATGTCACTTGACCCCCTGTGAGTAAACTTAGCTGCGGGCTCTGGCGTGTCCAGCAGGGTTGGGGACATGCCACGGGCACTTCCTAAAAATACCCACGGGGGAGCGACGGCCCCGTTGGAGCCCGGCCCGGTTCCTGATCCCTCCGTGGCTCCCGGCCCGTGGTGGGGGGCAGCTGCTGGTGGAGGGGGGTGGGAGGGAGAGTGGGGTGCCCCCAAGGTGGGAGTAGCTCCGGGCAGGAATGCATTGCCAGGGGTAGGGAGGTGGCACCCCATCTTTTCCCAGGGCAGGATCCCAAAATCCCACCCCACGAGGTGATTTACGACGGATTTAGGGTGGCACAATGAAGCAAAAAAGGGTTAAAATCACTGAGAGAAAAGGTGTTGGTTTTGTTTGGGTTTTTTTGTTGTTGCAAAATCATGCAGATGCCCTTTCTGTCCCTTGTTTTGTCCCCTCTCTCAGGCTGAAGTGAGGGGGGACCATTATCCCATGCCCAAATTTGGGGTTTCCAGTGTGGGATATTTGTGCCCCTGGTTATCCAATGTGGGATAACATCCAGCACCACCAGGATCACGGCTGGGGCTTTGCCTGTGACTGTGACCCTTCCCTGGGGGGGGGGATAAATCCTCCCCCAGCTGCCCCAACAAAATTAGGAGGAGAAAGGTGGACCCTCCAGGGCCTGGAATGACGTGGGATTTTAATTGCTGGGATGCAGCGGGATGAGGGGTTTCATCCATTAAAAAAAAACCACAAAAAACAAAAAAAACAAAACCCAAAAAAACCAAACTTCCTTTTTGCATCAATTAGGCCCAAATAATCCCTACTTTTGAAGGCTCAGTGGAGGGCAGTGTCCCCAAGCAGGGATGGGCAGGGACCTTCACCTTTCCCATCCCGAAGAACTGCCTGTGGAATGCAGTGGGCTGCGATGTGGTTGGACTGGGATAATCGGGAGCCGGGATTCAATCCTGAACCGCGAGGGGGTGAGTGTTGATGCCTCTGTGGGACGAATCCGCTCATCCCTCGGGATCGGGTGGGACAACAACTCCAGGGCCCCTCCCCCCGTGCCTCAGTTTCCCTGCAAGTCCCTCCCATCCTGCGGCAGCCTCGTGGTGACAGGAGGAACAGCGAGGCCACGTCCCTTCCAGCGGCTCATCCTGACCCCCCAAACCTCCCCACCAGCTTCCCCTCGGCGCCGGGGACTCCTTTTCCAGGCTCTGGGATGGCTGATCCCGCTCCTTGAGCCGGTGACACAAAGCCCGAGCGGAACACGGGGAGCCGGCTCTGCTGCTCGCGGCTGCTCCCTGCCCACCACCACCTTCCGGGAGCATCCCTAAAAATCCCCCCAAAAATGCCTGTATTCGGCTTTCTGCACGGCCGGCCCGGCAGAAGGACGTGAGGCGGGGAAGGGGCTGCATCCAGCGAGGGGGAATCAACCCCAATTCGGGTTCCACAACCCCCTTTCTGAGCCTTTCCCATTTTCGGGGGAGGCAGGAAAACGTGATTTCTTTGCTCTTTTCCCCCGCTCCGGGCTGTCGGTGGGGATGTGACTGCGCACGGAGGCTCTGGGGGTACCCGGGGGGGGGTTCAGAGGTTGCCCCCCCACCAAAAAAAAAAAAAACAACCCCACAACTTAGATTGACAGCTGCCCCGGGGGCGTTGCCATGGGGATATGCAAATCCCGGCGTGCTGATAAGGTGGGATGGATTATCCCCTCCCCCGTAGGAGTGTCCGTGCCGCCTCCTTTTCCCCTATAAAAGGCGGCGGGTTCCATTGAGCGCCCGGCGGCGGCGGCGGCGGCGCCGGTCGCGGGCAGGGCCGGGCAGGGAGCGGCCCCCGCCCCAGCGCGCCGGGTCCCGGCGGACGAGGACGAGCAGGAGGAGGCAGGAGAAGGCTCAGGCTCGCAGCCCGGGGAGGTGGGGCCGGGGCAGGTGCCAGGGGGAGGCAGGAAGGGGCGGGCAGGGCGCTGCCCGCTCCTCGCCATTGGGAAGCGGCCGCAGGCAGCGCCGGAGCCCGCCCGGCCCCGAGCGCCGAGCGGCGGCCGGAGGAGGGTCCCGGAGTCCGGCGCCGAGCCCCGAAGGACGGAGGGGGCTGCCCGGAGCCCCAGAGGAAGGTCCCGGAGCCAAGCTTAGCCCCGCTGAAGCTCAGCGCCAAGTCCCGTCGGAGGCGAGCACCGGAGCGCGGCTGAGCCCCGCGGCGCAGCCCCGGCAGAAGATCCCTGAGCCCGGCTTAACCCGCGGCACAGCCCGGTCGGAGAGTCCCTAAGCCCGGTTGAAACCGCAGCACAGCCCTGTCAGAAGGTCCCGCAGCACAGCCCTGTCAGAGGGTCCCCAAGCTCGGCTTGACCCGCAGCACAGCCCTGTCAGAGGGTCCCCAAGCTCGGCTTAACCCGCAGCACAGCCCTGTCGGAGGGTCCCGGAGCGCGGCAGCGGAGCCCCGTGGCGGGGTAGCGGAGCCCGGCTGAGTCCCGCAGCGGAGCCGGGCTGAATCCCACCGCAAAGCCCCGTCGGAAGGTCCCGAACCCCGCTGAGCCCCACCGGGAAGCTCCGTCAGAAGGTCCCGCAGCCCCGGCTGAACCCGCAGCGGAGCCCCCGAGGAGAGTCCCGGAGCCCGGCAGCGGATCCGCGTCCGAGCATCCCGGAGCCCCGTTAAACCGCGCAGCAAAGCCCCATCGGAGGGTCCCGCAGCCCCGATAAACCGCGCAGCAAAGCCTCATCGGAGGGTCCCGCAGCCCCGATAAATCGCGCAGCAAAGCCCCATCGGAGGGTCCCGCAGCCCCGATAAATCGCGCAGCAAAGCCTCATCGGAGGGTCCCGCAGCCCCGATAAATCGCGCAGCAAAGCCCCATCGGAGGGTCCCGCAGCCCCGATAAATCGCGCAGCAAAGCCCCATCGGAGGGTCCCGCAGCCCCGATAAACCGCGCAGCAAAGCCCCATCGGAGGGTCCCGCAGCCCCGATAAACCGCGCAGCAAAGCCCCATCGGACGGTCCCGCAGCCCCGATAAATCGCGCAGCAAAGCCCCATCGGAGGGTCCCGAAGCCCCGATAAATCGCGCAGCAAAGCCCCATCGGAGGGTCCCGAAGCCCCCCGGGAGCGGGGCAGCCCCGGAGCCCCCTCGGAGGAGGCTCCCGGAGCCCGTCGGCGAGCGGCGGTGCCCGGGGGCTCCCCCCCCGGTCCCTCCATGGACTGAGATGGCCTCGGAGCTGGCCATGAGCGCGGAGCTGCCCACGAGCCCCCTCGCCATCGAGTACGTGAACGACTTCGACCTGATGAAGTTCGAGGTGAAGAAGGAGCCGGCGGAGGCGGAGCGGCTGTGCCACCGCCTGCCCGCCGGCTCGCTCTCCTCCACGCCGCTCAGCACGCCCTGCTCCTCCGTGCCTTCCTCGCCCAGCTTCTGCGCCCCCAGCCCCGGCGGGCAACCGGCCCCCGGCCCGCCGGCCACCAGCGCCGCTTCCCTGGGCTCCAAGCAGCAGCTGGAGGAGCTGTACTGGATGTCGGGCTACCAGCACCACCTCAACCCCGAAGCTCTCAACCTGACGCCGGAGGACGCGGTGGAGGCGCTGATCGGCGCTCCCCACCACCACCACCACCACCACCAGGGCTACGAGCCCTTCCGGCCTCAGCCCTTCGCGGGCGAGGAGATGCCGCCGGCCGCCCACCACCACCCCGGCCACCACCACCACCACCACCACCACCACCTCCGCCTGGAGGACCGCTTCTCCGACGACCAGCTGGTGAGCATGTCGGTGCGGGAGCTCAACCGGCAGCTGCGGGGCTTCAGCAAGGAGGAGGTGATCCGCCTCAAGCAGAAGAGGAGGACCTTGAAGAACCGCGGCTACGCTCAGTCCTGCCGCTACAAGCGGGTCCAGCAGCGGCACATCCTGGAGAACGAGAAATGCCAGCTGCAGAGCCAGGTGGAGCAGCTCAAGCAGGAGGTGACCCGCCTGGCCAAGGAGAGGGATCTGTACAAAGAAAAATACGAGAAGTTGGCCGGCCGGGGCTTCGCGAGGGAACCCTCCCCGTCCGCCGCCCCCAAAGGCGCCGCCGACTTCTTCATGTGAGCCCCGCGGGCTGGTGGGATGGGGTGGGATCCACTCTCCACTCTCCCCCTCTCCCCTTTTTTGTTGTTGTTGTTGTTGTTCATGCGGGGAGAGCAAAAACCCGCTGCTTGTATTTAAAAAAAGAAAAATATTATTATTATTAATAATAATAATATTAGCACGTCCCCCACGGAAATTTCGGGGAGGGGAAGTCGAACTCGCCCCCCTCCTCAACGCACCCACCCGCCCGTGGGGACTCGGGGTTGGGGGGGGTCCCGGCGTGGGTGAGTGGGGGGCGCGGACCTGGAGCCAGCCTTGCATGCGGGACGTGTACGGCCACCCCCCCACCCTCTCCTCACCTTTCCCGGGAGCATCAGCACCTTCCAGGTGGCTTCTCCTTCTTCTTCCTCCCTCCCCCCCCTCCAATCCCAATCCCACACACCTTTCCCTGCGTGTTTTCCCCTCAATTTCATTTTTATTCTTCCAGGGGTCCCCACGGATCGGGCCGGGGTGGGGGTCCCTGGCAGCGCTGAGCCCTGTCCGGCCCCTTCCCCACCCTCCCTCCCTCCCTCCCTCCCTAATTCCCGGCCGGCAAAACTGAGCCACGTTTAACTTATTCACCCTTCTTGTAAATATGTAGAAAATTAGTTAGTTTTTTGCCTTTTTTTTTTTTTTTCTCTCGAGCCTATATTTTGCTTGGTGATTTACGACGAAAAAAGAAAAAAAAACTTTAAAAAAAGAAAAAAGGAAAAAAAAAAAAGACAAAAAAACCATCCAAAATCCTTTAGAAAAGAGATAAAAAAAAAAAAAATTACACGAGTCTTAAAAGTTTGTATGTAATAGCATGCAAATAATATCCGAGTTAATTTAATGATGATGTTGGGAAGAAGCCGAATGCACTATATACAGGAATCGATTGGGTTAAATAATACTGTTTTATAGAGATTTAAAATTATCTATGCTCTTAAAAATAGTGGGGAGGGGAGGGCAGGGAGGGGGGGAAGGGAGAGGCAACAATTTTGGGGTGACCTGAAAGGCAATATAGTAATATATGGACTGCGAACGGTTGGCTGCTATCTCACTATGCACCAGATTTATTTATTAACCCTCGGCAAACGGGAGCTTATTTTAACCTCGATGTTTGGTGAAAAAAACAAACGAACAAAAAAAAAAAAACCACAAAAAAAAAGAGACGGACAGAAAATGCACATTATTTGTTGCGTGAAGAAGAAAAAGGAGGATTAAGAATTCGTGCGATCGTCGGAGCGAAAGCGGGACCGAACCCGAGGAGCGGGATGGGAGTGGGGTTTTTTTATTTATTTTAAACGAGTTGCTTCTTTAAAAAAGAGAGGAAAAAAAAAACACGTTAAAAAAAAAAAAACTTAATTTTTTTTTTCTGGGGGGGGGGGAGAACAAAAGGGTCCTGCGGACACGCGGCGAGTTGTTTTTTTTTTGGGGGGGGGGAAAGCCTGGTGCATTTTAGGGACTGATCGTGCGAAGCGTTTTTACCGACCTGTTGTTTCGATTTGTGACGGTTTTAACGATGTTGCATCAAGATAAAAAAGAAAAAAAAAAAATCAACTTATATTCAAACTAGAGCCTGGGTCGGGTTTTCTCTCTCTGTAACTCGCGTGGGGGGTCCCGCAGCAGCGTTTGGGGGTCGTTTATTCCTCGTTTTAAATCCCGGTGTGGATGCCAAACCCTCCCCGGGGATAAAGCGGGTTGAACTCCGGATTTCGGCTTTTCCTACCTTTTTTATTTATTTATTTTTTTTTTTCTCAAGAAAGAGTCTTTTCCAGCCGCGTTTTGGGGGAGAGAGGGGAGTCCCGGAGATCTTTATCCCTGCGGAAAAGTCTCCCGATCCAGCGTGATCCCGGCTTGTCCCGACGAGCCGCTGGTTGGGTTTGAAGCGTCCAGAAATGATGTGATTTTTTTTTTCCCCTTTCCTTCTTTTGGCTTTTCCCTCGCGAGTTTTTAATTTCGAGGAGGATAAAAGCAAACCCTTAACAAAAGCAAACCTTTTGTGCCGGTGTTTTTAGGGATATTTTGGGGGTGTTTATTTTGCAGAGGGGGGAACTGTTTGGAAGGAGGTTTTTCCACAAATCCCGAGCGCGGCCGCTCCGCTCGCGGCTTTTCCCGACTCAGCGGGAAAAAAATTCCAACGCGACCCTTGGTCCTACGTGTTTTTGGAGGGGTTTATATATTTTTTTTTTAATGTATCTGTGGTTTTCCTCCTGTATTTTCGCACAGGTTCAGCCTTGGCGGGTCCTCATTCAGGAGCTGCTCCCGCTCCGCGGCCGCGGCTTTTCCTCCTGCCGCCCTCCATAAAACTCCTTGGCTTTTCCCAGGATTTGGGGGATGCCTGTGACCCCACAACCCTCTGATCCCGCTTTTCTTGCGCCCCCAGACCCCTCACTCCCCTCCTTTTCTTCATCATTTTCTGGCTGGTTTGTGTCTTATTTTCAGGGTGTTGGAGCAGCCGGAGCTCGGCTCGATATCCCGCTGGGATTTTGGGATGGGAGCTGGGATGCAGAGGGAACACTTTGCCCCAGGGCTGGGCAAGAAGGGGGGGCTTGGGGAGGGGGAATTCACTCCCTTTTCCTGGTTTTATTGAGATCCAGGGAAGCTTTGGAAATCTGGCTCTGAATAAACGGAACCCGTCCTGCTGCCTCTGCAGTCGCTGGCAGGACTTCGCCTCCTCTCCTGGAATATTTTTGGGATGAATCGCAGCTTCCTGGTGGGTTATTCCCTAACTTTTCCTCCCAGTATTATTCCCTTTTCTTGGTGCTTTTTCTCTGGGAGAGCGCATCCAGCTGCTCCACGATTAGATAAGGAGAGTTTGGGGAGGAAGGTGGTGGTTGGGGCTGGTGCCTTTCCCAAACCATCCCGGGCACTTCCATCCCCACATCCATTCCCTCATCCCTGGATCTTGCTCCGTGCTCCTGTGGGGTCACTGCTCCTTTTCCCAGCTGCGATGGGGCTGGTTCTGGAAGCGGAGCTGCCTTTGGGGAGCGGGGGCTCTGTGGGGTTTTGGGGGAACACTCCCTGTGGGATCTCAGCCCGGGATCCCGCGGGGGTGACGGCGATCGCCTCCTTCCCGGGAATCCTTTTCCCACCGCCTTGGAGGAGCAAAGGCAGCGATTTAAGGCTGAGAATTCCCAATTTTCCCCCCCTTGCCTTGCTGCCCCCTCCTTTCTGATTTAGGTATTCCAATTTTTGGGGGGCAGGGGGAGGCTTCAAGCTGGAAAAGGTGCCCCGGGCCTCGCCCTGGAGCAGATTATTTTGGTGATCGGGGAATCGCCCCTTTTCCTTCATCCCCGAGGAGAACAAGGATGGGATTCCCAACTCCTTGCACCTCTTTGATTTATTTGTTGTGCTTTCCAGCACCTCCTGGAAATCCCCCAAGCAGGGGAACAGCTGGATTAGGACACGGGGGGGGATCGGGGTTGTTGCCCCCATGGGGGGACCCCATTCCAAGGCAGTTTTCCGGGGGGATTTGGGGGTGGAATTTCACCTTCCTGCCCCATCCCAGTGTTGGGGTGCAGTGATCCCAGTCGCCCTGATTCCCTCCAGGCTTCCTGGCACTGGGATATGCCCCAAAATAATAAAACCCGAGTGTTTTAAGCCCAAATTTGGCTGGTTTGTGACTCGTCTCCGTGTTGGGGGTCCGATCCCTCCCCCCGGGTTTATTTTTTGGGGGATGGGTGTCTGGGTGATCCCTGCTTGGAATTCCAGTGGTTTTTTTGGGATTGCTGCGCCGTGCTGACCCTTGCGGGGCTGTGTGTGTGTATTCCACGCGTGCTGGGACGTGTTTTTTTGGGATGGGGGTGCTCTGGGATGGGCTGGTGTGTCCCCAGTGCCGCAGGGCTGCGGATATTCCGGTGGCGCAGGAGGACGTGTGGCATTTTTGGGTCACTCCGACCTCGTTTTTCAGGCTTTTCCCGCATTTTTTCCTGATTCCCTGAGGGAGAGTGGAGCCCCCTTTCCCATCTCCTTGTCGCTTTTTTTTTGGGAATCTGCACGGGGTCGCAGGAGCTCGGGACCCCACACTGGGAGGATCTGCAGCCCCTCCGCTCATCCCGGGCATCTCCTGCATCCCAACTCCAGCCTTTTCCAGTGGGGAAAAACAGCATCCCAACCCCATGGGATGCTCCAAAGGGTGCCTGGCACTTGGGATGGGGCTGTGGGAACAATCCCTGGGGGTCCCCTCCACATCGGCAGAGCTTTTTAACCCCAACTTCCAAGCTTTCTGGGAAAGAGCCGGCGGGTTTTCCACTGGGAAAAGGGGTGATTTTTGGGGAATTCTCCCCTGTCCCCCAACACTTCAGCACCTTGGAACACTTTATCCAAGCTCACATGGATGATTGGGGTTTGTTACAACCCCCGGGAAAGCTCCCCCCAGCTCCCTCCGTGGCCGGGGCCGGGAGCTCCGTGCCACTTCCAAGCAGGAATTTCTCTGGATCGCCGCAAACAGGAGGAAAAACCACAAGGAGCGGATGGAGGAAGCACCTCCAAAGTGTCCCTCGCTCCTTCCTCCTCAATCCTGGATTCTCCCACTCCCAGGTTTGTTCCCAAACCGCTGCTCCATGTCCTGAATCCCAGCACTTCCACAGCGTGGGAATTCCAACCCTGGGCTGCTAAATCCCGGTGGGTTTCTGGGAATGGAGGGATTTGGGGTCACTCAAAAAGCAGGAATTAATTAAAATCCCAGCGAAATTCCCCCCCCCAAAAAAAGAGAATCCCAGTGTGGGATGAGCCGTGCCCGGGCTCGATTTGGAGCCGGGATTTTTTTTGGCTGGAGCTGATCTTTGTAATCCTTGATTTCCCCCCCCCACACACACACACACATTCCCTGTTTTCCAAGGAAGCCAAACACCTCCCTGTCCCTCAAATAGAAATAGAAATATATAAAAACGCCTTTCTGACCTCGGTGAAACTCAGCTCTGCTTTGGCACTTCCCTGCCTCATCCCTAAGGCTGGAATTCATGGAATTTATTCCAGCCCTCAGCCTTCCCCCCCAGTCCAGCGCATCCCGAAACTCGGCGGGAGGTGAGGCCCTTCCCGAAAAACAGGAGGTGGGAAACATCCCCCCCTTCTCCTGCACGGCGTGAACAGGAT